CTGAGACAATAAATACATAAATATATACGGCGCAGACCGAGTGAAGGTATCTGCTCTCCCCCTTCATTCAAGAAGAAGTTGGTACACCACTGTTCTGTGCTTAAAATGTCTCCCTGTGCGCAACCAACAAGACTGAAGAGTCTACCCTTGTGATTAAGTTGAGCATCACGCAGAAAAATAAGGCGTTTTTTTTTTCTTTCACTGAAACTGAGAAAAACGCACCTTTTTGCAGCGACAATATCATCGAGCCTGTTTAAATAATTTTTGCCGGAATGCTCCTCTACCCCATAAAGTTTCGTACAATAATACCTAGAGAGAAATTGGGCATTACAATCGTTTAGATCGATGGGAATTTCGGAAAGTACAGCCTTTGAATTGGATTGCGTTAGCTAGAGAACTATCTACAGAACTTGTTCTTCAGTTTCAGTTTTGTTCTTCGCGCAGAATGGCTAGTGGGGTACGATAAAAAGCACTGAATCCACGTCTTTCCTGTTCGAAGACGTTGAAGACCGCTTGGTTTCTTGATTTTCTGCCATGTTGGAGCTTTATAGATTATATTTGACAGTTTAAGCAAATCGTCGTCTATTCACCGCTGCACATAGATGCAGCGTCCTATGCCTGTGCAGGCTATTGCGTCAAGTTCATGGTTTTTTTTTCTGCATAATCGCTTGACACCAAAACTTGTTTAAATCGACTGCAAGGTGACGGCAAAGCTATGTAGACGCGCCGTCACGCTCCTCTGACTGGACCTCACAACAAAACCAGAGGTGCGCTAGGGGCAGAGCACTTGGACAGACGCACCTGGCATCGCAGCTGACGAAACGTCAAGTGTGTTTCACTTAATACTCTATTTTTATTTTCGAAATAGTTAATGCACGCTTTCGATAAAAAACAAGAATGTTTGTTTTCAAGTTTTGTAAATAAAAATAATTCATTTTATAGTGATGTCAAATTTGGAACGAAATGGCGGACCAATGCATACCCTAGTGCTTAAATCAGTCCAGGTTTTATTTCCATCTCATGGTCACGGAAATTTTTGCGGTAAGCATTACGTAGAAATAAATGAAGCAGGTTTCTATTGAAAATAACTTCATATCAGTTGGTTTTCACACTCGGCAAACAAGCGTCACGTATCTTGAGAACGTAATACATCCAAAGCAGATGTGAAGCCTTTATTTCCCATCATTCCAATGGGTGTACAAGTGACAATGAAGAAGCCCACGTAGATTATGTATTAGGTATTACAGGTAATATAGCATGTAACGCCGTAATCTACTCTAAATACTTCATATCAATATTGCGGCTGAAATGTACATGACTCGCTGTTGTCGGTACTCAGAAGTAAGGTTTGTACTTGGCTCCTAGAGTGCAACTTGCCATCGCGGCCTGATTAGCTCGTAACATAACCTTTCATGGTATAACAATATATTGAGATAAAATTAGCATCATCTTTGTTCATCCACCGCTGCTGTGCTTCGACGTGACAACCTCCACATCACTAACAACGTTTCTTCTTTCATTTCATACTTGAGGGGGCATTTTTTCTTCCAGACATCATCTCGTCAAGAGAAAGAGTAACTTCGTTTATGTGCAGCGAGAAGAGATAAATATCAGTGTTACTTCGCGAACACATATTAATAACTTATGATTGCAGGTGTCATCAAGAATAGCCGCGACACTATTTAGGGCACTCCAAGTTCTTCAAATGATTTGGGCTTTAGCCTGCGGTAATTGCTTTCGAATCTTGAAACTATAAGTGACTTCTTTATGAATGTTGTAATACCGGACTGAAATGACACCCACGCGAAGTCCACATAAGGATATACACTTAAATTTTGCCATGGCTCCACTGTCAAACAAGGGCCTGCAGTTGTGAAGGAAGCTCCCTTTACGAGTCATGAAGCCGCGTGCACGCAAATTGTATGCCACAAGTGTGATAACGTAATTATAGAAGAACAGATCTGAAATAAGTGTAATTCTTTAAATGTTGCTATGAATGCGTACAATTAAAGGGAACCGAAAATTGCCGCAACGTCGCACGACTGGTATCACATCTGCAGCAGTCGAAGGAAGTGCTCTGGAAACGCCAGAGGCGACCCAAAGAAAACATTATGCAAATTCAATAGAGTGCAGACTGGCAAAAAGCATATTACTCACCGGCGTAAATTTTCCGCGCCTAAGCAAAAAGCAAGAAGGGCTGAGTCAGCAGTACATTGTGGTGGTGGTAATGAACTCCTTACGAAGTTTCAGCTTTACATTTGAAGGTAATTGAATTAAGTATGGCTTTTCTGCTTAGCAGGGCAAACATATTAAACTTCTTATGCAGTTTAAAACTGAAAATATTAATAAAGAGGTTCTTCCTCGAAACAGAATCGTTTCGCTAGCGGTATTCCTGCCTGGCTGCCACTGGCCTTTTAATGTTGTTCGCAGTTGCTTCACGCGTTCATGAACAACTGTTCGACTACTGTGAGCCTCCAAAACAAAACTAAGCGAAACGGACGATGTAGTAATTACAATGGCGATGGGGCAAAGATACCCATTTTGTAGATTTAGGCTTATAGACACCATTGCAATCTTGTATTGAAGTCGTGATATGACGCAAAGAACATGAGAAAAAATCACGGTGTAAAAGTACTGCTTTTTCATATAACGGGGCCATCTTCCGTAGCCGCCATCTAATTTTGGTACCAAGGGCGCAGTTCGTGCATTCTTATTGTTACATTAGGGTACGCGCGCTCCCACAGCGATTTTTTTTATTTTAACGGTATCTGAACGCAGTGAACGCAGTTGATGAACGCAGTGAACGCAGATGATGTAGCGTATCGTATATATTGATTTTATGTCGAGAACGTCTGCCCACGTAATACAATAAGAACAGAGGAAAGTAAGCTTTCGGTCACGCTTGTCAAGCTGCGTTCCACTATTTCAGCATATGTATTAGCTTTGTCATGTGTTCTTCTTTTTTAAGCATTTGTAGGGTGCATAGTTTAGAGTTTGCTATAATATTAAATCAGGTCTGTATCCAGGATTTTTTTTGTTAGGGGGAGGGGGTGAAAGAGTGCACATGATTGAAGGCAATGCAAAACACGAAAACACCTGTGTTCATTATTTTCCTCAGTAAAACGCCCCTTTCCAGCCGAATTCCGCAACCAAGAGAGAGTCCTCCAGGACACCTCTCTAGGACACCCTTTCTGGTTACGAAATTTGAATGAAAGGGGTTGTTTTGCCGAGGAAAAATAATAAACTTAGATGCTTTATAAGGCCTTCAACCAATAGCCACCCCCACCCTGCACGCCCCCCTAAAAGAAAACAAATACATTCCGGGCTTCGCGCCTGATTAGAATATGTATCTCTATTTTGGAACAACCGACAATAGATTGTTCAATCTGCGTAGTATACCTGAATTAGGCTAAAAGGTTACCTTGATGTCACTTAATCTCACCACGCTAAAAGCACTTTTAAAACAGTCACTTGCGACCAAAAGTCAGACAAGTCCCACATTCTCCCAACAACAGCTTTAAGTCAATTTCACAAGCAACTTAACATCATACCACTACAATGTTGAAACGTCAAATGAAATGCCCCAGGAAAGAATGTATCAATGATGTAAGCGTAAACATTGGCTAACCACACCGATCAATCAAAACAACCTAAGTGTTTTCGTCATCTCACCACAGCTTTTAAGTATGCAGGCACTGTTGTGATATGTTTCCCATGACACAGTAAGTCGTTTTCCCTCGCTCAGAAAGAGCGTGGACCTATGAAGCATAATATCTTACGCACACTTCTTTACAGCTAGAACACATAATATTCTCACCAGTTATCACTTTCATGCACTGCCAGCACAATGGCCTTGAGTTTGGTTACTTCTCAGATGTTGGTCAGCAAGTATGGGATAACAGGTGACGCTTAGTCCAGGTCGTTTGTGCCACATGACCCGCACTTCCTGGCCAAAAATGGCTGCCCCTTACAATTGAGAAAAATAATGGTCTACATTTGGAGTTATGATTGTTCAGACGCTTTAGGCCATATTATGAGGCGCAATTTGCTTCTCGCTCTTTCAATTGCGCAAAGCACGTCCACAAGAAAGCTCTCTTGTTTGACCTAGCTGCTTTTCTGATATCAAAAGGTCATTATTTCTCTCCACTGCACAATCATTTATAGAAAATTCATGAGCAAGTTAAAGTAACAATTTTTTACAGTGTGACATTGCACACCACGACACGTTCGTCTTAATTTAAACAGCTAATATTTTACGCCCAATTTACGGCATTTGAAGCTGGTTTGGCAAGCGACAGACAACATTACGTTGTTTTTCCTGTAAAGCGTGCACAACTGCAGGCATACTCTTTTTGCGGCAGAGCCAACTTTAAAAGTTCATTGCATGTTCATTATGGTATTAGACGTGTACTTATTTACATTCCTGCTGACCATTAAAAAAATATATATTTGTTGTATCCCTTTCTACACTAGTCTTTTGTATAAATAGAACACTTGAATGGGATATAAGTTGGGTAAAAATATAAAAAATAAAAAATGCACTGCACCATTTGTGTCAAGCCATCAGTCCCTGTTTTTACAAGGTTGTTTCTGAATTGAAACATAAATTTAGAAAAAATATGTGAACGTATTATTAGGTTATTAGTTGACAAGTGTGCAAAAAACAAATGGGTGTTCATGACATACCAGTCATGAACACAGGGCTGATGGAATGATGGCTGAATGGAGGGCTTAATCTTATTATGAACGTTTATGACCAACCGGTGGCTACATCAGCAGCCCAGCGACAGCGCTGACTACCAATGTTATATGCTAACCCCCTTGTGTGATTTCGGCACAATATTGAATGTTAGTGCTGCGGCTGGCATAATATTTTTTAAAGCCGTAAAATCTATAAAAGAGCTGACGCAAAAATAAAGCGAAATAAGTGTGCCCGTGGCACCTTTTATTAAGTAATTCTATACATTTTTTATGTGTAACGTGATATCGCTTTTTCGCAGGTTTATTGCCGTCACGCAGCCTATCAAGTACTCAAAGCACAAGAACAGCAAGCGTGTGGCACTCACCATCGTGATAGTGTGGGTCGTGTCGGCAGCTATAGGGTCTCCCATCATGCTCGGCCTGAACACGTCCCCACAGAGGGTGCCACATCTGTGCATCTTCTACAACTCCGACTTCATCCTCTACTCGTCGCTCAGCTCTTTCTACATCCCCTGCCTGGTGATGGTGTTCCTCTACTACAAGATATTCCGCGTCATACACGAGCGGGCGCGCAAAGCTGTAGGCAAGAAGGAGGCACGCCTCAAGGGCCTCGTGCTCGAAGGAGGCCCACCGCCCATCGCGAACAACACGGGTCATCATGGTGTCGTCACGCTCGCGGTAGGCGCAGGGGGTGGGGCCACCGGTGGACAACCTGCGCAGGGAGGCCAGCCTAGCCTGGGGGACAACAGAAACGGAAACAAGAGCCTTCAGGTGAGTGCACATGCAGGAGCCGTGCTTCTTGTTGTTGGACGTGACTGGTATCGTTGGAAAAGGACATATGTCCGACGTCTAGAATTGTAGCTCTTGAAATATGGCTGATATCATAAGGTGCATATCCTTTGAAAATCGTAGCGAAGCCTAGACAGTGAATACAACTCGGTTACAAATAATAACATGTTTATGCAAGATTGCCGGTAGCGCGAACTTTGCATGGTGACGTATTTGTTTTTCTTAACTTCCCAGTGGGCTGTACATTGTTTTATGTACGAGAAATTACTTCACTCTATTTGTCACTTCCACTTTATGGGTCACGTTACCAGAGTAAAAAATATGTAGTTTTCAATCAGAATGAGCTCAAGGGAATCATTTGATAAGCTCAATATTTGCATGCTAATCTAGTACTATTATTTGTACCTTGCTGTTATATCCCCACAGGATCTTAGCTATTATAATTATTTAAGACATTAGCTCCTCATGGCAAGGTCACATAACAATTTATGGTGTAAGTGACTGTCGCATGAAAGCACACCACTGAAACTGCCATGAATGAGTGAATCTTGACTTCGGCACATAAAGGGGTATGACGGCTACATGGTACAGAGCAATCATAGAGGCTTTGCAGTGGCGCTCTCCTCACATTCATGAGCACTGAGTGGTGTAGATAGACAGCGAAGTGCCAGAGGCATATCTTGCAAGGTCTAGCTTGGATTCTACTACTGAACACTGTCAGTCTTATCCAGCAGTTACCTGATCATTTAGTTTTTGGAGGACATATTTAAGCGGTTCATCTTTCATCCATCAGCACAATGAGAAATAAATTGCACGAAATCGTAGGTGAGCTCCATGGTGCCAGAAGCGGATCCTCTCACAGCGAACACGGGCAGCGGCAGCCAGCCAGACGAGGACGAGTTCGACGATCCTGCCCACCGAGGCCGGCGGGGACAAGTGGGTCGAATGCGACGAAGAGGAGGCCAGCTTCCTGGCGGCGCAGAGTGCCACCTCTGGTAGCGACCCACCGTCGCACGCGACACACAACAGGAACCACGATTCAGGATACGTGGACTCGAATGTTGACGAGGTCCACTTTTCCCGCCAGGAGAGACCAAACAAGGTGCACGTGATGCCCGTTTTTTTTTCTTCATTACTCCGTTATTGTCATACCCAGAGCCTGAGCTCTCTAACTCGCGTCTGCTAGCGTGGTGCAATCGCGAAATTTAGTCCACCGAAAGGTCCCTGCAGCGTAGGTTCGCGCAGGGTACGGAGACGGCGTTCAATGAATTGCCAGCTAACGTTGCCATTTGAATCAGGGAATTCGTCAAATTTCTTAGATGTGGCTCATTCTGGTAGGAAATTCGAAACCCGGTTTCGAGAAACGTATCAATGCTGACCTCCAAAATGATCAAAATTCGCACAATAATGTTGAAAGAGATAGTAAAATTATAAGAAATGCAGTGGGGTTAACAAGGGCTAAGCCTGGATAGTGCGGAAACGGAAGAGGGCGCGGAGAGCTGGAGAAAAAGGGAGAAAGAGTTCTTTTCCCTCGGTTATATTGGAAAATTAAGTCAGACAGACAGACAGACAGACAGACAGACAGACAGACAGACAGACAGACAGACAGACAGACAGACAGACAGACAGACAGACAGACAGACAGACAGACAGACAGACAGACAGACAGACAGACAGACAGACAGACAGATAGATAGATAGATAGATAGATAGATAGATAGATAGATAGATAGATAGATAGATAGATAGATAGATAGATAGATAGATAGATAGATAGATAGATAGATAGATAGATAGAAGATAGATAGATAGATAGATAGATAGATAGATAGATAGATAGATAGATAGATAGATAGATAGATAGATAGATAAGATAGATAGATAGATAGATAAGATAGATAATAGATATTCCTTAATTTATATATTCAATACATATCATTCAGCGCTTTTACGCAGCCCTGAATTGGGAAGGCCCGTTCATGAACGGGCCGCCGAACTCGGTTTGACGGTCCATACGTGAAACTAGCCGTGTGTGCGTGTGCGTGTGCGTGTGCGTGTGTGTGTGTGTGTGTGTGTGTGTGTGTGTGTGTGTGTGTGTGTGTGTGTGTGTGTGTGTGTGTGTGTGTGTGTGTGTGTGTGTGTGTGTGTGTGTGTGACTGCCTCTCTTACGTTTTGTAAAGTAGACGGTGTATAGCCGCCGTGGTAGTTCAGTTAGTAGAGCATCAGAACTGTTATTCGAAGGTCTCAGGTGTGTCCTGCCTACAGAAAGTTCTTTTTTTGTCCACTTTCCTTTTTTCAATAACTTAAAGGCGTGGCGGTTTGGGCTAGTTTATAGGTCATGAAGATTGTTATAGCGCGAACTAAGAACGACAACAATGAGACAAGACGACAAGCGCTACTTACAACTGAGTATTGCTGCAGAGCGCGAAAACATATAAAGAAGACAGTAAACGATGTGAAAAAAAAAACCACGTGAGAAAAATTAGCAACGCAAAGATGAGCTAGGCAAAAAATACACAAATCAAGAAAGATATCTAAGGAAACGATACAGAAAACTGAAAGAACTATCACTAGTTGCACGCGCTAATACTTTCGAGGATCCTTAATTTCTTTATGGACAGAGACACGAAAGGCTGGCTAACGCATTAGTTCTGTTCACGTGAAACAGTGACGATGTCTAGGGGCAGAGAAGATCGCACCCAAGTCATCACCGAGGCTGCCCAGATTACTGTCTTACTTTGAGTTTCTTACTGATTTGGTGCGCACGGTTTGTTCGGTTCGAACGTGTACCTCCGGCAAGCCTAGATCATGAAAAAAGATAGGAGAAATGATGAATGAACTGACCCTCTATTTTATGTAAGAGGACGACTCTCGGCCGCTGTTTTGGAATGGGTAGGAGAGGGGTGGTTGGGTGAACAGCGTAAGCATTTTAAACTAACATTAATGCGTGTGAATTCGTCTTTAGTAGAAGTTCAATAGAGTCGCTCTCTTGCGTGATGGTCGGCCTCTTCTACGCCACTCTGAACGGGCCACTCGTACTAGCATGGGCCTATCAAGAGAGAGAGAGAGAGAAATAAATAAAAGGAAGAGACAGGGAGGGTAACCTGGAAGAACTGCTTTGCTACAAATGATCCAGCTTAGCTATATTAGACAAAAGCATACATAAAATAATATTCATTTCACTCCTATCGACTGACTGATAAGGCACCAGAAAACTGAAATCAAAAACTACACGTTATATTAAAGTGACGTCACTGCAGGATGACACGAATGCAGGAGAGTTAACCATAGAAGCGTCTGGTTGGCTGCCTACGTAGGGATATGAGAAGGATGCAAATAAATACGAACAGGGAGAGAGAAATAGAGAATTACATTAAAAAAAGGAGATGAAAAAAAAGTGATTGTACCCAGAGTTCACAGACTCGCAGTCTCGTGCGTCAGTTGAACCGCTAGTCAGCAGTGTTCGCGTAAACCCATCGTCTTCAATACGCACAAAAGTGTCCTTACGGCCATGCGAGTGGACAAGCGATGCTTTATTCCCACCAGCGAGTTCTTATACCGAGCTTTTTTCGATGAACGCGCTTTCGCACGAGCATCGTAAACAACACAGCATGCACGGTTTTCTCGCTGAAATGTACTGCACAGTGTTCATCGTCGTCAACCGCACGACCGTGCGGTAACGCTTAGTGCAACAACGCACCAGCGCTATCGCGTACTGTCATCATGCAGTTTCCACGATCTGTATGCTCCAGATTAACGGGAATTAGATGCAGACCTAGACGTGCAGGCCGTTGCTTCGCAATGGCAGTGTAAGTAAGAGGGCTAGTACCCGCAGTGGCTGCCCTACTGACTGCGCACCTTTGTATTTGTTTAAAACGTTGCATAATGCTTAATACAAGCAGACTTGAAGAGAAGGACAAATCTCGCATAATAAAACAGAGATGTTAACCGAGGCAAACAACGCGTAATAAAGCAGTGACGCCAGCCAATGGTATAGTTACAGCTCCTCGCCTTTCGAGGCAGAAGGAATAACGGTACAGGGGAAAAAAAGAGAAATAGTAGTGGGGGATACGTAAACTATGCGTGCATAATGGATGCTGCTTTCAGTAAGCAAGCAGCCTTCTGCGTAGTTCATGGAGCTCGCCAGGACTTACAACGTAAGTTAAGCCTAATTCTCGGCGTTTGTTTTGCGCAATTGTGAAGCAGCGCATTCCGATAGTATTATTCAAGCAATCAGGAGCATGCCTCTTGGTAATGTTGCGCGAGCATGCACCTTCACGTACCCAAACAGGCAGACCTTTTAAAGGACTGTTTAGTTTGCTCTCGCATTTCGTAACTCGCACAGCAACCCATTGCCGAAATAATGGCCACACTAAACGAATATACTCCGCTTCTGCTGACAAGATTATATTGTCTACACCGTGCATCCAGTCATGACAAAGCGCTTTTGCTGCGTTAGCGCAAATGCGTTTGTTTCGCATTCAGAATAATATGGTGACGGCCCATGAACTTCTAGCACGGTCAGCGTTCCATCGCGTTCATAAAAGGCGGTCAGTGACGTCCCGATCCTGTTGGCCGTAAAGTGGTACGCCCAAAAAAGTTACGTCTAACGGAAGAAAAGACAGCAACCGTATCATATTGAACTACAGTGGACGTGGGGCCTTAGGTGCATAGCTCGCTCAAGACAGGGACAATAGCTTCTCACGGCAAACTGCCTGCCGTAAGCATTCCGCAGTTGCTTCAGACGAGCAACGTGTCTGTGGAAGCTATTAGCTCTATGTTTTTGTTCTTGCTTCCTCTGTTTTTTGCCTTCTTCGTGTCGGGTCTAGTGGTGACACAGACTCCCTATGGCTTAATAGATGCCGGATGTTTTCTCTGTTGTGAGTAATAACATGCTGTCCCAAAGATGGCAGCCACAAAACGACGCGTTTCTCCCCAGATTGGAGAGTGCCTTATATTGTGAAGAAACAGCAAGTTGTTACATTCTAGCCTGCTAATATTGTATTCTTACGTAATCAGATAGAGTGCGCTACCTCAGAAATCTCTATCTTTCCTTAGCCGGAGCTTTCCGGTGTTGGCGAGTCAACGCGCGCGGGATGAGCGTTGCGATACCAAGACTGTTTTTAGAGACTACGTGAGGCCTCTGGCACGACGCTGTTTCTCAACGCAATTAGGAAAGGGCACACAGAAAAACCCAGTTTCCTATCTTTAACATTTTTGCTACGTGGCGAGTGTGCAGACGACTATAATCTAGTGTGTAAACAAGCAAGATTTCATAAAATAGCGAGGTGATTGGTATCCCAAACAAACTGGTTAATTGGTTGCAGAAACTGCTAGAACGACTGGCTGCTTCGCAGCGGAAACGGGTAGGTTTAAAATACAGCCGTTAATTGTTATGTCTTCAATAATACCTAGCCAAATGCTTCGCTTTTCAATTTGTGCCGATATACCTATGCATGCAACCATTTTAAGCCATTATACACATTGTATAAACTCGAAAAAGACTCACCACTACTCGTATCTTTCGGCTCTTGTGTCTTCGATTAATATGCACACGATAATATGTGCGTAATAACTAATACGCGCGTCAGTACTATTAAAAATACCACTATGTTCGAGTATAAGTATACTAATGGACGACACTTTCCAACCTAAATTTGTGGCGCTGTGCCTTCCTCATCATTATATTATTGTTGTGGCCTTATGCCCCAAGATCCCGATGTGAGGGGAGGAGAACAAGAGATCAAGACCAGGACATTATAGTGTGAGACACCGTAGACAGGAAATTTCGGCCACAGGGCGTTTTTTAACGCGCTCCTATATCTAAGCACATGGCTCCAAGCGTTTTTGCCTTCAGTGAAAAAGCTGTTCACCATGAATGATAATCGATCCCGCCTACTCCGTCACCAATCGGGTCACCAGTCGGGTGGCATAACGTCCAGACCACCATAGGCGAATATTCTGCGTTCTTTTCATTTGAATACCGCGACGTATTCGCCGTTTCTTTCCGAATTGAGGGCATTGAAGGTAATGACAAACACTTAAGAGGTTTCTTTCCTGGGCAGTATATATGATTTACGTCGATACACATTTTTCATAATTTGCAAATGAATCATCTGCGAGCTCGGCATCGCGATAGTGACTTGAACCCACGAACGCGTTTGTTTCACACAATGAACTCGGTTTTATACGCCACCACGGCATCTCTCTCTCTGTTTGAGGTTTGAAAATTAACTTTCGGTAAAATTTGGTTAGATCCGCACGTGGAGGGTTCTTTAATTCACTTACTGCGTGCGGGAATTCAGGGTATGTCCTTCAGCCACAGCAGTTGTGGTCCGTTTCAACAATCTTCACGCCTCGCTTCCTTTCTTCCACTTATCTGCATCGGTATAGACCGTGCGGTGTCTTCTTGGTACTTCAATGTAGCCGCACTTTTTTATGCAACGCAGGCGCTGCATTAACTTCCGCGCCGAATGCCCATGTACGTTCTTCGGGCGTGAGCTGTACCGGCAGTTCTGACGTACGTGTGTGCAATCATAGTCTGTTCTGCCACATAAATCAGGGTCTATCGCAAATAAGCTCTAATTGCGGCTACGCCGCTACTCGCTCAAGACAATGCGCTCCCATTCCATGCTGTATACAATTGAAGGGCGTTGTACAGGGCGTCATTGAATGCGGTGGCATCGATCCGCTATGCGCTGCGGTTCATTTCAATAATTCAATGGAGTGTGCTTTGCGGTTCGTTATCATCGCTCGTGTGGGCACAATACGGGGCACGCTGTTTGCACCTAATTTATTGGGCAGACTAAGTGTGGAATTACTAGTGCTGTTGGCTTTACTTTACTCCACAATTATTTTATACACTGCGCGATGTTATTTAAATTAATACTAAGCGTAACAAAAGAGAATTCGAAAACAGAAGACAAATTTGCAAAAGTTGCACGCCAGGATTGTTTTTTTTTTTCTATTTTTGAAGTAATGTTTGTTGTGTGCTTAAACAGTATAGATGCATATTACATGACGGTACATTATACTTTATGGTTGACTGCATGAAATGTTCTGCGTGCAAATTCAATTCAATATTTTATATATTTTTACGCTAAACTTTTGTGACGTGAATGAGTGAATTCACGTGAAAGTTTACGTGCAGGCTACCAACTCTGTTTATAATCTACGAAAAAGTCTGTAGCATCTTGAATTATGGAACGCCAGGCCCGTGAAAAATTCTTGCCGTATTCACGTGTAGTGAAGGAGCAACCTTAGAGCACGCTGTGAAGTCTCTTAGGATGCCTAATATATATTCATTTTAATACTGCTCACTACATCTAATTCATCGTCACAATTGCGATGCAATAACGTGCCATGGTCAGCAAAAGTTTGTGGGACGCGAAATGTTCGATAAAGCTGGATTCCGGCTTTGCCTAGGGAATGCGAATTTCTGAATGAATGTTCCATAGTGGACTTGGAATTCCGACGTACACAGTCAGCAGCTTGATTACAAGCATTAAGCTCTGATATAGCAGAAATTCACGTTTGTTGGGAACCCAACGTCCCGCAAACTTTTGCTGTTGATAGTACCATTAGTGGGAAGCAGTGGCTCAGTGAATAATTACGTATTTGATAGCTATTTCGGTAATCCCAAGCTTCTACGCGTACTGAAAGGAGAAACAAGCAGATACTGTGCAAAGAGAATGGGGACGAAGCAATGAAAAAAAAAAACCCATTGAGGCGCATCTTCGTTCCACCCTTTTTTCATCCTGAAATATGAATTAAATAGCTCAGCAACAAGCCCTGTTTCTATAGGTACCCCGCGACACAATCCCATATTCTTCAAAAAAAAAACAGCTAAACGCTTACAAAAAGCGCACAGTTTCATTCAGCCTTCTTGCTTTTTCTTTCTTTTTCCTTGCGCAGTTTAGTGACTGTTGTTGCGCAGCATATTTGAATTCACAGCGGTTAGTTTTATAATAATATACTGTGATAAAGTGTTAAATGAGCATCTAGCATACTCTCCGGCATTCCCGACGCAGGAGTTCAAGAAGAACGGAACCGTGATGCCCCTGTTGACAGTGTCGGTGGTCGGTGGTCCAACATTGGGCGCTTCGATAGAGGACGGACCGGCTCGCAAGAAGTCTCGCTTCAACCTCGGTCGCAAGCACAAGTCCAGTCGCAAGAAGCGGGAAAAGGCGTCAGCGAAGAGAGAGAGAAAGGCCACCAAAACGCTGGCCATTGTGCTCGGTAAGTATATTCCTTGGTAACGACGTGCTGGTGTACAATGTTCTTCTTTATGAAAGGGAACGCACATTCGCGTCGCCTACGCTGTGGCGTTGCTGCCTACCATCAGCCGACAGATAAAGAAAGCATGTTCACTTTTGGCGACATCATTTGTTTCGAGACCGAAGCGGGAGCGCAATCTATAGCAACGCTTCTCCAACCACGTTTCAAACGGTCATGACTAGTCATTTACTTTGCTAGTAGATGACGCCAAAAGTGAACCTGTTTTCTTTATCTGTCGGTTGACGGTGCGGTAGTAAGCAGCGGCAGACCACAGGTCATTCGCTCGCGTGTTCCCTTTCATAAAAAATGATAGTTTACGTCGCGAACTGCATCCACATTTTTTCGGTAAACCACCTCCCACCGTTCGTTTATTTGTGTCGTCTTCGCGAGACACCTTTGAATTGAAACACCAACGTGAGTCCTTTTACCAAGCATAGGAAGAAACACGTGATGAATGTCTATGTTTACTAACAAAAATTATTTTTTGAAGTTGGAGCACTTGCTCTGTATAAGCATAGAAATGACCCCATACTCTATCTCAGCTGCCCCGGTATTACACTATTGTAACTCTTGGTATGTTAAAAGATCAAGCGTGGCAAAGCTCTCTGCAGAAAGCGGTGCGCACTGAAACTACAAAGCGAAACAGAGAGTACGGTACGGTGTGCTCTGGAGAATGCAATGAACCATCACGCTGAGTGCTTAAGTACGAACACACACAAAAAATTCTGCAATTTTTTTGTTCTATATTCTAGCCTGTATGACATCTTTTGCGGCCGAAATCAATCAGAGCGAGCAGGACGAAGTAAACAACGCAAATGCCTTGCCAACACGGCCTTCAATCTTGACAAGCTCCGCCAACAGTATATTATGGCACATGGTGGCGGGTGTTACAAATGTGCAGACGAGGCAGCAAACATAGTTATTGACCACACTACTCCCCGTACTAGCACCTTGTCACGTTCTCCTCATCGGGGCGAAAACGCACGAGTTTCGTTTATAAAGCGAAACGCAATTTATAAAACTGCAAAAAAGTTTTTCTTTTTTTTTTCCATTCCGCGTCCGACAATATTGGTGGGGTGCATGATAAGACCCGCGAAATAAGTCACGCGTGAAGGATGCCTTCAGTGCTGCACGGGTAAGAAGCGCGTGTACTTACATAGCTCGGTAAGCAATGCAGCCGACAGCGTGAAGGATGAGTGGTGTCAGAATAGTTGAAAGCGCGGAACTTCGCCGCTGCACTCATCGGGCAGCAGGGTCACGTCAACCCAGGATGCTTACACGACAGCAGCTGTAACGCCGTCACGTCCCGTAGGCATCGCCCTGCATGTCAGCATTTCAGCTGACAAGCAGTCGCCCGTTGACTCCGTCGCCCCCTTACAGAGGGGGCGACGGAATGGTGCTGCTCTGGAGCGACAACTCTTGACGCTGCTTCGGTCACGTCGTCGGGTATGTTCTGCGCGCCGCAGCTATTTCCGGCCCGTCGTCCAGCGTCCGTGTCTACGTGACGTAGCCAGATCGAGTATTTCGTGCATCTCCCACTGGTGCTACAACTCATGATATGGTGACCAGTCTCTTGTGCTATGACGTAACTGTCACGATGGCCTTAAATGAGGAGCTATGAAGCACATTTCAGTCAGTGGGCTACATGAACTGCAGAGCCGCAAGTGCCGAAGTTTGGCTGATGGTTGTAGCAGGTATGGGGCGAGTGTGAGAGTCATGATTTGAACACGATGTCTGCTAAGGTTACGATTTCAAAGAAAGTATTTTTTATATATACGCGGGACATGTGTGAATGGTACTTGAAGTTAGGTATCGAGAATCGTCGATACCGATTTGAAATATGACTGAAATCTTGACGCCGATTTTGAAATGGAGAGCTTTTGGACTGAGGTAATGTGTCAACACATGACCGCACCGGTTGCCTGACGAACAAGATGCTTCAGACCAGTAGTGCATGTGCTGCCTATAGCAATGTCTTTGCAATAGACAACCACCATATTCACTAGACCACTGTAGCTGGTTAGAAAAGCAAGTGAAGTCACGCCCAATTTCTCATGCTCTTTTTACCGCGGTAGCTTGTGCGAAAGTAATATTTTATCGCGAAATGTATGTGTGAAGCTCTGCATGCGTATTGTGTCTTAAAAGGCTTCGGCAATCTCCACGTGTCAAACTCGGCGATCGTTGACGTGACGCAGCACGCAGCACTTCGCTTAGTCTACAGCAGGTTTGAACAAACAGAAATGAACTTAACGTCGCCGATTGCCGAGTTGACGTCACTGCGCGTAGAAGGAGGTTGGTCACGCGCAGGAAAAATGCGCGAGCTTTTCCTGCACGTTTTAGAGCCTGTTGGCTGGCCTTTTAAAATCAGTCACGTGCTTCAAACATTCTCGTTGTGCTTCTTCTTTATGCTAAATATCAAATAGAGTGCACTTTGATTTATTCACTATTGTACCACTTTTTTTCTATGAAAGCACGACGCATTGGAGTTCTCGACCAGCTATTACTGCCACTTTCTCGCTTAGTTTTATCACACTATAGTTTACCGGCGTTTGTATTTAGTGTGTTCACCTTAGTGTACATTTAAACGACCCCTTCCTTTTGCCTAAACTTTCAAACATTGTTACGTCATGAAATAATTTGAGAATCGCCACGTGCTTCCAGTTAGCTCTTCTTCTTGGAAGGTCGCCAATGTCAACAACAAACTTTCTTGCACAGTTAGAAAACATGAAAGAAAGCTTAGAAAGGATGCGAAGACCAGCGTCTCTCAAGCGGCCTTGTGCTGCATATCGTATGTCACCAAGTGCCGTCTGCTGTCATGGAAGCTTTTAACCTCGTGTCCTTTCAACAAGCCTGAAGCATACTTCGCGCAGCTCATGTTTCATCCAAGTCTAAGGCTTTTCATTTCTTTCCTTCAGACGTGCTTGCTTTCCTGTTCACCCGTGACATATTCAAAGTTCGAAGGATATTGCTGTTCGAATTCAATGAGTGAAAATAAGGGTGTAACATTTCAAGTGAGATGAGGCTAAATACCTGACGTGGGGCTATCCAAAATATGTGCCTCGGCCAGTAGAACGCTGTTGGATATTGCAGGAATATCTCATTCGAAAAATCACATATTAGTGAAGGTTTGAAAAAAGGCCAGAAGCGGTGATGAGAAATTTGTAAGCAGGAAGTGGATGCTGAAGCCAACGTTGTACAAGGGGAGAGTTGCAGCCTTGAAAAAGACGGGTCCACTTGTAGAATCATTGATTCCAGCAGCTACCCCTTCTTACGAAATTCTCATACATTTGAAGATAAATTTGTAAACGACTGATTGTTCATGAGTCCTCTTTTAATACGGGACTTCTCAGTGAGAAATACACTGATGATGACATAAACGCTATTTTTATTATACCGTGAAGTGAAGTAGCGCAATCTGTATGGGGACAAAGGACACAAAAAGGACACAGTATGAACCCAGATTTCTTGTCATAGTCATAGAAATATGTGTTTCTAAGGTTTTAGGGACTCTTAGAACTTCATTGTCGGATGTGTGTATGCACTCAGTAGACCGTTAATGTTAGGAAGGTTGACCTATCTTGAAAAATGGAAGACCAACCGTGAACCTTCCAGGTTGCTCACAACACAGCCCATGCCTAGATGCTAATTGCCGCTATTTAGGCGAGGAACTGGTCCCAAAGCCACAAAACTCAATAAAGTTCTCAGTCTCTCAAATGTTGTTTCTTCTTCGAATTGCCCAGTCACAACTGAACGAGAGGTTCATAGTGTTGTGATAAATGTCTTGTTCCTCACGAAAGAAAAAAAAACGGACGTTTTGACCAGCGTGTTTTTTTTCTTCTTAGACACAATAATAATGAGAACTAACAGACAATTTTTCGTGCACTTTTTGTACAGATTTACATTACAATAATTACTAAAACAACACCTATAGTTTCCCTGGTGTTATTGTCAGTTCTCACCTATGTTGTCATGCACGATACTTATCACTTGTCTGTAGTGCTCACAGTTAACAATGCACGTTGTCTCTTGTGGATTCAATTCCTGTTCTCTTTCTATTCTGTCCAATCGATTCTCCTTTACTATATCTCTTTTTTTCTCTGCACCGTATTCATGGAGGAGCGACGACGATTACAAATGACAATCGCTAGCCTGAATCTCTATTTTGTTTTTTTCTAGGCAGGATGAATCCATGTGTTTCTGTAAATGATAATTATATGATTGTTGAGAGAGTGTAAGGGAGAGAGGCCACAGCTGTCGCCGTTACAAGGCACCGATGGACAAATGAACGCGACTATGAGCCATTAAATGCTTTCACCTTCATGTAGCGGTAACCAAGGACATAACATGTGTCTTCTGATTGAGCTTGAGATATCCACGAGTGTCTTCTCCATTAGCAAACACATTTGAGATCTCATGTTTTCTAACGTGATAATCTAAGCATTGTTAGGATTTAATTTTTTTAACCATAAGTCATTCACTTGAGATGCCTAATTCGTCCTCACCTAAGGGTTGTCTTAAATGTAACTCAAAAGATTACAACCTATGTTCGATTTTTCTAGTAACCCACACAACTTCTCGTGCAATTGATCGCCTTGTACGGGAGGCGGAAAAAAGAAATGAATGCAAACACTTCAGAAAGTTTGGCAAATGTAACTCCAGCAATTATGTGTCTCCAGTTTTCACCCATCGGTTTAGCGAAACGAATTATTTCCTGGCAAATATTCCTGTCGAAATAAAATTTTTACACTATGACGTCGGCATGTTTCTCCTTAACATTACGCTTGGACAAAACAAGTTTTCCTGCGACGCACCCACGCTGTACTTTCTTACTTTTTAGAAGCAACGTTATGATAATCTACGTAGTGATTCCAGCCACCAATGGAAAAGGAAATGATAGGCGTAACTATAAGGGCCAAGATGAGAGCGGATTGGGTCAGAAAACAAGCGTGTGTTAAGTACATCTTAGTCGAGATCAAGAAATGGTCAGGGGCAGGGAACGCAGTGGAAACGCAAGATAAGCGCTGTTCATTAAGACTAACAGACTGGTTCTGAGCGAAGGCAAGTGCTCGATGGGGAGCGGGCAGATAGTTAGCTGAGCAGATGAGATTAAGAGATCTTTTCAGGGATAACGTGGCCAAAGCAAGCACAGGTCGTAATTAGGTGGAGAGACATGGGAGAGGCTCTTGCCCCGCAGCGGGCGTTGTCAGGTTAATGGCGATAGTGCTGATGTAGTGACTGACAAGCTTTGCCCGCTATGTTTTTAATGCGTTGCGTTGCAACTGTAGGAAGAGTACTCCGTTGTTCAGCAACGTGAAAAGCGTTGTCACGTTATCGCAATTTCTTTGTTTCTTTTCATGTTTTCGTCACTAGCCGTGTTCACTTACCAGCGGCATGGTCTGTTTGCGTGCGCAGGGGTGTTCCTGATCTGCTGGGTGCCCTTCTTCACGTGCAACGTGGTCGACGCGGTGTGCATGAAACTGCAGAGTCAGGACTGCCATTTGGGTGTCACCGTCTTCCTGCTCACCACATGGCTAGGATACGTAAACAGCTGCGTCAACCCGGTCATCTACACAATCTTCAACCCAGAATTCCGCAAGGCCTTCAAGAAGATTCTCATGGAGCCCATGAAGTGAAAAAAAAAAACGTGAACCCGCTCAACAGACGATACAAATGGTGCTGCGTGCCAAATGTATAGGAAACTGCAGATCGTCGAAGACTCTCGTTAGGAGAACGAGGACAAAGAACCGGGTTGCTGGTCGAGCGTGTGTGCTCGCAGTTGCACGCCGTCACTCTTTCGTGCTTTCTGCTTACTCCGCGCCCAATTTTGTCGGGATATCTGCTCTCGGGTTACTCACTCGTTCAAATCGCACCCTTGTTCGAAAACGGGGCAATGAGCCGGCGAGTGAATTGTTGTTTGGCCTATCACGAAGGATTGCGAACCATGCGGCCCAACATCGTCAAATGCTGCAGCCTTTGCACGCCAAGTCGTCAAAATGCCCTTGGTAAAATCATACAATCTATTCGCTTAATTTGAATATAAATAGACTTTCTAACATATTTACAGGCTTTCAGTGTCTTAAAAGGTCCATTTCCACGCCAGTTCCCAGCCGAATGTCCAGAGTCTCATGGATGTCAACCTTGTACATTCTCAAGACTTACAATACTTATTTCATCTGAAGAAATCTATTACAAGCAACCACTAGTTCCATATCACTCAATTTCTCGGAGTCGTCATTGCTATTTCGTTTCAGCTGTGCCACAGATTTGAGATGTCTGCCGCAAGTCGCGGAAGCGGCTAACTTAAGACAACGCACTTGTCTTTGAGAATGGCTCATAGGAGAATCACGTGGGTAAAAGTAGGTAAAACGGGAACATGCGATGAATTAGGTGGTCTCGTAAAAAAAACACGTCATTTTTTGTCTTCCGTTTCATTTGTCTTCTGTTTGATATGTTCGGCTGTCTCATTTAGGGTAATGCCCCCCGTTAGTCCACTAGTGTACGTAACCCTATTCCAAAAGTCTGTTCACTCAGCTTTTTTTTTTCGCTACTTCAGTCTACAATTATCAGTGTAAATAAAATGCAGAGCTAGTGAAACTTACTTCATGTCACTCGTTAGCGGAAGGGCGCTTAGCTTTGCTGACAGAATGATGTATAGTGCGAAGTATTCTGACGTAAAGCGCTAAAGTGTCCTCTCCTGGCTCTATTGTGACTTCTCTTTGTCCTGGCGAATCTAACAGATCTGACAGTTCTACAGTCGCTACAACTTCTCGCCATTCTCTTACTCTGACTACAGCGCTTGCTTCAACACGTTCCCACGAAATGGGGCGTGTATTCTAGGTGACTTCATGCGTGTCTGTATTATCACGGAGCAGACTTTAGCTAAGAAGTGTAGCCTTCTTTTTCTTTTCTTTCAGAAAATGTTGTCAGCCCGGGCAAAAATTGCGACACCAATTGATGCGTAATGTCACGAAAAATGAGTTCCCAAACAACCGCTCTCATACCGCGAAATTCACCAGGCAACATGACACACACGCTCAAACGTTCTGATTTCAGTGTGAAGTCAGTCGTGCGCAAAATTACCTACGCTAATCTTAACGAAAGAGCGTCCGGTAAGAATGAACTGGATATTTGTGGATATTTGTGCCGCTGACGTCAAAAATTTAGACGTCAGAACCCAAACCCATTGCAGAATAGGAAAATATTTACGCTACTGCAACAAGAAAAGAAATATTCTGTCGTGTATTTTGTGATGGGATGAACTACGTAAAAGCTCGATTTATTCCGAGCGTCTCCTTTAACACCTACTTAGAATTATATGGCAGCCAAATCAACAACTTACATAGGCCAATCATCATGGTTTTCTCGTAAACCAAAACAGGGTAACTTATTTCATGGCACACATGTGCCACGGCGTAATATGCGATGAATTGCCTTGCATCTCGATGTGTATTAAGATAGTACTATATACAAAAACGCCCAAGTGAGTGAAAAATTTTGTTCAGTAGGGTGCTTCAATACCGGACACTTGACGCTCGCTCTTTTCTATGTTTTGCCTTAAGGCTTCAAGTAACAATTAACGCTGACGGCGTGCACATAGCGGCTGCCCTGTTCCAAACGAATGGGGTGATACAGTCATCATATATGTATTTTTGGCCATAAAGAGGCTTCATGGCTTTCTTCGTACTTCTCAACGCGTTCTTCGCAGTACACGCATTATCGTGTACTCGGTGCTCTAGTACCTAAGCTTTTCGCCCACTTTCTCAGCTGGAAATCCTCGCGCTGCAGCTGAAGAAACATTGGCAGCGTCCGTAAGCTTTTTCTCCTCTCTCCAGCTCACCCGATATGGTCACACATGTTACATATCTCTTATCTCCCTGAAGTTTTAGAGCTTAAATTATTGTGGCTCACCCGCTAGCCCCTCCTTCCTGTCAACACCCTTCAAGATTGCAGCGTCATCTAACAAAAAAAAAGCAGGCTTTGGACTTTGTTGCCCGTTATGTGGCTTCAGCGACGTGGAAAAAATTGCTTGCGATGAATACCCGACCAGAATGCAAGCCAGGGCAACGCCTCCATTAATTCAACGCCTCGAACGCGAGCCGCAAACACGCTGCCTTTCTTTCGACTGTAATCGTTATTGGTACAATAGTCAGCGTCTCTCGCGGCGTTCTCTTGGTAAACACACAAAGCTCACGCAACTGCCTCCGAGCGGCTGGCAACATGATGTCACGTGACTAAGTGCTACGGTAACTAGCACGCTCTCACGGCGCCTGGTTGCAACAAGTGCCAGTATACGTAGCCTCCTCTATTCACCACGGCAGGGAGGCTTTCTATGGAAAAGTGTGCGACGTTCCTGGCATGCAGTTTGTGGAGGCGTTGGCCTGGAATATTCCGTGCCAGTTCAAGCTAGGTCGACCTTATTTTGCCTCTCCGTCACTAATGTGTGTTGCTCATTTGTGTGTATTCCGTGGACTGTACATTGGACACCTGCACGGAGTTATACCATGGTGTAATGAAGATGAGATGTGTTCTCCGCCTGTACGCAAGCTGTAGTACTGTATCGTGCATTGCGTTCTCACAAGAACAGTCAAGTTCGCTGTGTGCATGCGAAGCGCGATTGTGTATACTTTGAAGCAGTGCTCGTTGGCATTTATTCTTTGTGTTTTTGTTCTGTTGGTATTGTGATAGTTTATATGTGTATAAATGAAAAAAAACAGTTATAAATTAAATAAATATATTAATGTATACATATGATGTTAAGAATGCATAAATACACATATGCCCAGACATGACGATGTTTACGATGGATGTTTAAGAAGAAATACATGGAATATAAATTTTGTTCATCAAATTACGACTGTTCCTTTTTTCCATGTTTTTATTAGCTATCACAGGTGAGTGGCAAAGAAAGGTAGTTTAACACACCAGGTGGCACACGGGTTTTGAGAACGGGCGCATTCACGATGTACCAATGTACATTTCATTTGCAAAGACAGAGACGTCGAGACACAATGACCAACCTGGTCATTATGTCACGACGTCACTCTCTTGTACCGCTCAAGTGGGCGTTGGTCCTTAAAATACATGGATTTCGCATGACCTTGATACTTAAAAATACTGCTTACAAAAGAAATTACATGATTTTGAGCCATCCTGAAGAGAACTTTTTATTACCATAATATGCGCTCTCAGCGCTCTCCACACACCACGTACAAATTCTACATTGCTCCGATATTTTACTTTGGTTTCATTTGTAGTTTTTGTCACCCAGCATGTACAAGCCAGACCCAATGGAAGGAATACTATAACGGCGAGTCGACAAGGTTGTGATGCCAACGCAACAGTAATAACCACTGCGTGAATTACATTTCTTCACGTGCAACTCAGCTACAACAACCTCTATGCTCGCAAGTTTGCCTTTCGTGTTATCAACAATTCCTCTGAAAGAGGAATATTTCATACCCTTCTACCCATTTTTTGTTGTACGTAAACGCACCTGTGAAATGTAGAAATGGTTGGGCACACCAGACTAACCATTATTGCATCATGTGTGACAATAAAAACCAAAAAATAGTGACAAACGAGAGTTTAGAGGGAAATTACGAGAGCTCTACGTTGTGGTGATCGGTTCTTGCTTTACAAATGTTTGTGATCTTCGCAGTCGGGTTACACTATAGTCAAATAACTGAAAAAAATAAAATAGATCCTACGTACCTTGAGATTCGATGGTAAGTGATGCATGCGCGTGCAAGCTGACCTTGTTGTAATTTTTACTTGAGCGAACCATTGCGAAGTTGTCCTAAATATATGTACAGATGCACGCATAGGCATACGTTAAACAGCAACATATGTTTTATATCACCAGTTGTGTAGAGTTACGTAAGAATGCCAACAGCAACATCAATATTAGCAACACCAGAATTGGTAAGCTGATATAGAGCGCTGCTGTTCGCGAGGATCATAGCCCTGGACACTGCTACATAAGTAAACTTAAGCGGATAACATCTGAATACAATTGATGTTAACTCGACGTGACGGCTATTTTGTTGGAGTACATATATAAGCTTACAAAATTAGAAAGTCAATCTTGCAACCACAATTAGCATTTGACAAACATTAGGGCCTATTTGAAAGGTAGTTCTGAGGCGAAAAATAAAAGAACAGTTATTGAGATTATATCTCTAACAGACACAAGAGTAGCGGTACCTTCTATCCTACGCAAAAAAAAAAACAAATGTCACTTGTAGTAAATAAATAAATATACAAACTGGTTCCCACAGCAGAAAGAGCTTGGACGATTTGGAAATGTGCGTACCAAACTATTCAAACTTGATTCCGCGAAGCATTTGAAGTGATGGAAAAAATAAATCCTAGGGTTTGTTAAGCACGTTACAACGCAAGAGAGTAACTGCGCGTAACAGCATCGAACCACGATGACAGCGAAATAAAAGATTGTTACGCTTTCTCCACGATGTGTGACCACCGAGAATTATGTACCGCCTCCGATTACAACGGGAGGGTACCGATAGCAGTGATTGATTTCCCGAGAGTATTGTTAGCCGAGCACCCTATCGCCATTTCTATGTCAGACAAAGTTCCCAGTCACTATAATGGACGAGAAAACTTCTGAAGACGTCTTGACTTCTATCTCGTTGCTCTCCAACATGGCCTAAATTCTTGCACTCATCCGACCGGGCTCGTGTATATATTAGAGATGTTCTGTATGTGCGCGATCGAGTTGTTCTCGGATTTGGATAATCAAGTAGGCGGTTGTCTTGAGATAGGCTGATGCTCTCTCTTGCGAGCAAACTGGAAGTGGCACCAAGCAGGCACCAACGCTGCACCTACATACGTCACTACAAGCGTATTCTTTCCGCCTCTACAAGCGTATTCAGGGCTGCGAGACTTTCGGATTTTTTTTTTCATAGTCGTACAAGTCGGCTGAGGAAAGCTGGTCGATAACGTCCATCTTCATAATTTCGACTTGCACTTACAACTCCACCTTCCACCGGAAACACCCAGAGTTAAAGATAAGCTTTTTTGCCATATTTGTCTCGGTGTAGCCTTAAAGAATGCTTATTCATTTCAAATTGTAATGGCCAGTCACTCAACATGAGACAACTCAAAATGAGACTGCGCGGAGACAATTTCCCATCTTCTCTGCGACTGTCTTCGCTTCAGTGCGCAAAGAAAAAAACTTTCGAAAGTTCTAGATAGACTACACAATGGACAATTGTCGGAAGAAAAGGACACTGGCTGAGACCATCCTCGGTACGCAAGACATTGAAAGCGTTGTTGCGCTTCTTGCGGACAATTGGTCTTATACAAATTGTAAGCAGTATCGTCGATCGGGCTGCTGGCCTTCTTTATTTTATTCTCTTCAACGTCTTTTTTTTTGTCATGTTTTATTTCCCTTACCCTCTTCCCTTACCCTCTTCCCCAGTCAGGGTAGTCAGCTGGTCCGATAACTGGCTAACTTTCCTGTCCTTTCTCCTTTCTTTCTAATAAAAGCTGATTGCGGTGTTCCTTAAAAGCCAAACATGTTTATGACTGAAGATAAGGATGCCTTGTGATCAGTTCGTGTTCGCATAAATAGTGCACGAGAAACAAAAACAGACCTGCACGGAAGTTGATTAAAGAAAGGATATAAAATCAACATGACCACAGAATTCAGACAAAAAAGCAATAAAATTATCGGAAAGCTTTGCAAATCTTGCAGCTGGCCGCGTACTAACTTGCCGCAGTTTCGTCAGCAGTCTCAGGTGCTTCTTTCGAACTAAGCAAACGAAAACTACTTCGGGCACATGCTATGCTGTTGCCAACCCGAGAGAATGCTGAACCGAAAAAAAAATTCAGCAGATCCTACGTACCTTGGAATCGACGTTATGCGAAGCATGCGCAGGGAAGGTGACCGTGTTGGAATTTTTTTATGAAGCAACACGTCATGAAATGACGCTAAATATGTGTACAAATGTTGCACGCACAGACATATGTTGAAGAGATGCACATGTTTATATAACCAGTTGTTTGCACTTGCGCAACGACAGCAACTGGAACACGCTTATCAGCAACACCAGAAGCTTATATGAAGCGCTTGCTGCTGCTCGCGAAGATGCTGGCCCCCTGGACACTGCTACATAAATCAACTGCAGCGCGTGGCAACTAACCACGATGGACGTTAGCCCGACGTGGCGGCTGTATCAAAGAGTGCATATATAATGGTTATAAAACTAGGTTGACTGCACTGCAACCACTATTGACGTTTTACGAAGATTGGCGTCTATTTGAAAAGCAGTTCCGAGACCTGGCAGAGCTCTGTGGTAAAATGCTTGACTACCACGCAGAATGCTTGGGTTCGATTCCCAAGCATTCCTGAAATTTGTTATTTGCATTCGTCGGGGGGTCAACGCTGCCTACGTAGAGTTTTTCTTAACCCTGACATTTATTCTATGCCTTCGTTGGGTCGACGCTACCGATGTCGGGTATTGTTCAATGCTCACGCATTGAAATTACCCATGTGTATTCTCGTAGTTCCTGGTTAGATACTAAGTGTCAATCACCTGTGGCACATACCCGCATTCTTACGGCACGTACCCGCCCCTGAGTATGTGCCACTGTCTGGCGAGAAGCGTTTGACGACGTACGCGATGGGACTGTGACATTATTCATGTCTTTACCATCGCGTCATACTCTTCAAACCATCTTACCCTCCCATGCTAATTTTAGTTCACGCCCAGTTAACCACAACAGCATGCACCCAAACATAAGCGGCTAGATAGATAGATAGATAGATAGATAGATAGATAGATAGATAGATAGATAGATAGATAGATAGATAGATAGATAGATAGATAGATAGCGTTCAAAATTGCCGAAGTTGGCTGAGAAATGTTTCGCATTTAAAAGAGGTTAAACTTGGCAATGACGAAAATGCGGAGTAAATTATGGCATTTTCTGGGACTACAATGTCAAGTACAGGGTTGTGAAACTTCTTTCGTTGTCCGCACCTATGCTGTATATTTCTGCATCTATGCAGACACAGAAGTCATCTATATGTCTGACGAACTTTCGAATGCCAGGCTGGAGTGGCGTGAGAACTTTTCTGTTGCGACAAAAAAGTAAAGAAGGTGAGAGAACTGTGATGGGGATTAGTTTATGCAAAGCAATGGACAAGAAGTTTAATGCGAAGTGAAGTTACAGTGTGACAACACATACGCAGCACAGCGTGGGTTACACTGTACGAGTTGTGAAGTTACTGTACAGTATGGGAAGTTACATTGCACACCGTTCCAAAGAACAACGAAAAATTCGCAGATCCGACGCTTTGTGGCAACTGTTTTTATGCGAAGAAGTTTGCGAACAAATATATATGTTTTTTAGCGTTGAGCTTAGCATTATAGGGTGGACGGATGCGTTTTTTTAATTGGAATATTTCTGTTCATATCGTGGGTTTGCCAGGAACGAGGACTACACATCATAGAAAAGTATCGGTATTGAAAACAAGCGTATACTACAGTGCGATGATATGAATACCATGTGTGACTTGCGGTATTTGATTCCTGCAGGCTCGAGAAAAGCTTGGACATAGCTTGCTGATTTACATCAACACAAATGCAATGTTTGTCATACTGCTATTGAAATGTAGCCAACACTAGAACCACAATTTCCTTTGACAGGACATGACGCCTGTATCAGAGCATTGGATAAGTGGTGTTTATTACTTTGTGGAAAAATTAGTCAGCCAACACTACATCTACAAATCGTGGTGCACCGACTAATATACCTGCATGTTTCCAAAGCAGTTTCGAGACCTGGCTTGGCTCTGATGCAGAATGCTTGCCTGCCACGCAG